ATCTTGAAGTTAGTTGTGCACCAGGAAGAAAGGGACTGGGGCTTTCACACTCCTGTTCTGGTTGGTCTCTGGCTACCAGCTGAGGAGGTAAATGCATGTGTGCTTTTTCAAAGGCAAAAGGAATCTAGTAGCCAGAGATCAGGCCCCTAACGGGAGTCACAGAGCATCCATTCACAGAAGCCGAAGGAGGGGTGTTCAAAAGTCATAAAAAGGATGATAGGAACCGGGGGTGGTGGGCCACTTCTGCAATCCTAGCGACTGGAGAGGCTGAGGCGGCAGGATCACAAATTCAAGTCCAGCCTTAACAACTTAGCAAGACCTCATCTCAAAATAAAAACTAAATATTGGCTGGAGATGTAGCTCAGTGAGAAGGTGCTGGGTTCAGCCCCCAATAACACACACGCACACACATGTGCATGTGCGCATAAACCCACAGAAGGCAGCTGAGCAGCCCTGATAGTGCCCGGCACATCTGCTCCACAGTCTCAGGAAATGGCATCCTCCTGCTGGTTGCTTGTTGACAGTACTTTCAAAATATACCCAGAATCAATGGATCTGTCTCTTCCTCTCCCTTTCTTTCATAATTTTAAAACCTTGTGGTAAAATATACATATAATTCATCATTCTAATCATTTTTACTTTGGTACTGAAAGTGAGCCAGGACAATCTGCATGCTAGGCAAGCATTCTATTGCTAGGCTACGTCCCCAGCCCTTTCATAAAATTTTATTCTGAAACGGGGTCATGCAGGCCTGGAAACTACCATCCTCTGACCACAGCCTGCTAAATAACCAGAATTACAAGTGTGTACAATCATGCCTGGTGTCTCTAGCCATTACAGTTTGGTGGCATTAATGACCTCCACATTGTCATGTTACTAGGTCGGCCTCCACCCACAGAACGCTTTCATCTTGCAAAAGTGAAACCGTACCTATTAATCACTTTGCTTATCTATTCATTGACGAACATGTGAGTTGCCCCTACATTTCAGCTACTCTGAATAACTCTGCTATTTCCTGGCATGGTGTCTCAGCTACACAGTGATTCAGACCAGCCTCCTGAAGATAGTGAGCTCGCATACCTAAACGTATGTATATATATGGCAAATAATGCTGCTGTGCACGTGGGTGTGTAAATATCTCTTCAAATCCCTGTCTTCACTTCTCTTGGGTATACACACAGAAGTAGAATTGCTGGATCACATGGCAATTCTATCATTTTATTATGTATCTCAATTGACACAAAGTCACTGTGTCATGATTCTACATGCTTACGATGTGTGGGAATTCTACCTGAAACTTTCTTAGGAACCACCATACTGTTTCATAAAACTGTAGCACCATTTCACATTCTCAGCAACAATGCACAAGGGTTCCAGTAGCCCCACATCCTCACCCACACTTTTTAAAAAGAAATCTGATTATTTCTTGCCCTGGATGATTAGTACCATGGCCCTGCCCACTTCTGCTCCAGACTCTGAAATCTACTGTCAACACTTCTCTGCTCAAACCCCCTCAGCCCCACTCCTCCTCTCCTACTCAGAGCACAGCCCAGGTTCCAACAGTGGCCCATGGGGCGCTACACACTTTGCTTCCCACCCTCCAAACTCTGACTCACTTCCTACCCGCTCACTACTCCAATCACACAGGCATTTTTTTTTCCCTGTTCCTTGTAATCTGTTGCCCAGGCATGTGCCACGTGTTCTCGATGGGAAACTTGTCCTACGCATACTTAGCTCTAACTTGTACCATCACTTCTTGGGGGTTTTGTTCAAAAATCCTTTCCCCAGTGAGGTCTCTGGGCTTTCTTGGTGCTTCCCCATCCTCATCCTGGGGGACCAGGCAGGAGGAGAGTGTAGCTCAGTGTCAAGTGCTTGCCTGGCATGCATGAAGCTCTGGGTACAATCTCCAGCATTGTAAATGAAAATTATCTGTCTTGCACCTGGAGAGAATGACTCCCACAGAATCTGTCACCCCAACTTTCTTGCCTTCAAGCTTGTGGGTGGTTTGGTGGATGTACATCAGGAGACAAAGGGCAAGAGAGAGCCGCTGGGCATTGCTTCTCCGCAACCTCCCTGGACGTTTCTCAACTACAGCTATGTAGGGAAGGGGGGGTGTTCAGATCCCTGTGCCCCACCCCATGATGGCATTTCCTCTCTGCCCCTTCAGTCTCAAAGTAGCAGTGCCTTCCTGGTGTTGCTGGTCTTTTGTGCCTCAGTACCCCTGTTCCCCAAACTCTGCAGTTTCTCTAGCTCTTTCCAGGATGACCTGAATCATTGGGCAGGATCCTGTTCCGGTTAGACGGATTTCCAACCCTACCTGCTGGTGGGGAACCGCTTTCCTTTCCGCCTTTGTTCTTTCACAGAGCACATATAAGCATTAAGGCAACGCGTATGTGCTGTACTTCACTGCTGACTTTGTTCTGCCCCTCCTCTCCCTCTCAAGAAAGGCAAGTCCAAGAGTGTGAAGACGTTTGCCTATTTTGTTCACCCACCATTATGTCCCCTGTGTTGGGCACCTAGCAGGCTGTGGGCAAATTTAACTGAACTTCAGATGTGAAATTCATTCAGTTAAATTAATGAATGAGTGAATGAATGACTAGGGGAGCTATGGAGAAGCTAGCGCAGTGGACCAAGTTGCAGGCAGAAGAGCTGGCTCTCCAACGCAAACACCCACCACCCCCACCGGTGCTGACTGCCTGGGAAGGAGGCGGAAATGAGCGAGCTGCACAACCCTCCAGCCTGGTGTTTACTTAATTAAGGCCTGTATCCCGAGGCTCATTTGTGTTTAACTGTCTGCCTAATGGCTTCGTCTGGCTCCTGGCCGGCTGGGGGATCCTACAAGGCTAGGATAGGCCAGGCCTCCCTGTCCCGCCCAGGCAGGCCAGTGCCATTCCGCAGCCTGAGCGCAGGCACCAACTCCCCTAGGGCATGAGTCTCCAGGCAGGACTGTGAGAGGGAGGCAAAGCTCTCTATCTGCCTCGGGCTTTGCTGTCCTAGTCCACCTCCCACCACCAGCTTCTGGACCGCTCTGCACCCCTGCTGGGTAATAGAGCACTCCCTAGACACCAGATGGGGATTGCTGGTTTTACCCTCAGCCGTGAAATTGAAGGATTCTGATGCTTCCTAGCCTCTTACTTGAGGCATGTGGGATGCTAGAGGAGAAATTACTGGTGAGGCAGAAAAGGCCAAATGATCCTGGAGCAATGCACTAGGCAACACTGGGCCCTTTCTCTGCGCCAGGTACTGAATGTCGTGTTTTTTAACCTGTTAATTTGTTTAATCTCCCCTACAAATATTAATTCATTTAATCCTAGTATAGTACTTTGGAGGGTAGGTGTCATTACCAGTGCCACTGACAGCTGGAGAACTGAGGTCACAGCACTGGTAAGTGGTGGGAGGTGGGTTTGAAGCCAGAAGGTGCAGAGTACAGAGCTGGTGCTAGGAAAGGGAAGACTCCTTAGTCACCACACAAGAGTCCATTGTTTAGCCACAGGCCTGGTGGTGGTAAGGTAGATTAAGTTACCATGTCAGTCCCTGAAAGCCACAAAGTCTATGATCAATTAAACAGGGCTGAGGATTTAGCCCAGTGGCACAAGTGCTTGCCTGGCAAGTGCAAGGTCATGAGTTCGATCCCCAGTACCAAAAAAAAAAAAAAAGTATAATCAATTACATAGTCCAACTCTAAAAGGTTGAGGCCAGGAGGACAGCAAGTGCAAGCCCAGCCTGAGCAACACGGCCACTTAACAGGACCCTGTATCAAAATAAAAACTGTGTTTAAAACAATCATAGGAGGGTGGGGAATGTATTTCAGTGGTGCAGGCGTCTGTCTAGCAAGAGCAAGGTCCTAAGTTAAGATTTCCGGTACCAAAAAAATAAAGTTAAAAAAGAATTTGGGATGGTTGCTCAGTGTGAAGGCCTTGGATTCAATCCCCACTACTGCAGAGCCAAACAAAAACAGAGAAACCGTCCACCTCCCCTTCAAACCCTTAAATGTGAGCTGGGTAGAGAGAGAAGAGAAAGAAGACCGTAGGGAAAGGAGGGCAGGGCTCCGGGATCCCGGGCCTGTCCACAAACCTCAGCTTGGTGGGGAAAGGGAGTGTGGGGTGGAGCGCCGAACCTCAGGACCTTTCTGCGCCCAGGGTCCCCAAATGCCTGGAAGAGGAAAGCGAAGTCTAACGGAGTAGCAAGAGTAACTAGGGAACCGTTCTATCTCCGCGGTCTTATCTCCTAGGAAGGGTGTGGGAGTTGCCTTCAAAAGCAAAATCGCGATTACACACAGTATTTCAGAGCAATAAAAACTGATTTTTAAGAATTTTCGTTATTTACGCTTTACATAAAGCTCAAAAAGTGTTACTTATGGGAGGGGGCGCCGGAGGTTATGGTGCACATAACTAATAACCATTCCTCTATCTCGAACCCGTAGGACTACTGCGGCTTCCATACTCTGGCGCCTTCTCTCCTAGCTTCCATTTGTTCAGTAGAGAAACAGAAGCAACGATTCTCCCTCAAGCTGTATCAGATTCTGTAACGCGGACCTCGCGGCCAGTGGGAGCCCCCGGGTCCTCCGGGGGGCAGGCGGGCGGGCGTGGGAGGTGGAGCAAGAGGCCGAAGGCAGCCTGCGCTGCAGCCTAGGTGTGGGGGGCACGCCCGGCCTCCACCAAAGCTCTGGGCCGCAGGACGCCTCCGGGAGCCGGAACGGACAGCCTCGGTTGCCCGCCGGGGTCAGATTTGTTTCCCCCTGCTCCCGCCCGCCTTAGCCGCTGGGTACAGAAACGTCCGCCGTCCGGTGCTGCGGAGGCTGAAGAACAGAGCGCGTTTTTTCCCCTTGCAGCCCAGAACCTGCGAGGCGGGCCGAGGCGCTGCAGGGAGCCGCTCCGACACGCCGCGGGACCCGGGTGGGGGACAAGCGCGGCTTCGCCTGCGGCTCCTGCACGCCGGCCGCGGCCCCACCTGCGAGGGGCGGGGCCAGTGACGCTGAGCCAATCAGCACCCGCCTGGGCTCACCTGGCCGCCTCCTCCCGGCTCCCGCGAGTGGCGCTGCTCAAAGGGGCGCGCGGAGCTTAGCTGTGCACTGTCCTGCCGTGTGGGCCGCTCACTCTCCAACCATGGGCTCCCGGAGTGGGCCTCTCGGGTCTTTGCTCCTCTTCCTTCACCAGGTACTCCTGTGCCCCAGCCCTTGCCTAGCGGGCTCTGCTCCCTGGAGGGCGGGCGGGGTCCGCGCGTGGCGGTGGCGTCGGGGCCAGCTCGGGGCTTGTGTCTTTGGGGTCAGTGTATTCCCTGAGGCCCGATAAGGACTCCCCAGGGTGGGGTGTGCAGAGCCAGGCCAGTCAGTCACCGGCCACCCTCTTCCCCCCTCGGCCCTCAGGCACAGGTCTGCTGGCTGCTGTGCGCAGCCTCTCCGCCTTGCGGGGCGGGCTTCGGGGAGGCTGCAGTGACCTTGGAGGCGGGAGCCCGAGAGATGCTGCCAAGCCGGGCGATGGAGAAAGGTAAGACCACCTCCTTCTCCCGAGCCGGCCCGGGTGGTCCGCCGTGCGGGGATCCGCACGTGGTCCGCTACGCTGTGGCCCGCGCGACGGTGGCCAGGCTGGTGCAGGGAACTTTAGGCGCCGTCTCAGATCTCGGGGAGGCGCGAAGGCACTTCTCAGGTCTCAGGGGCCGTGGTGGCGGTGAGGGGCTAACTCGGAAGTCTGGACTGCGTAGTGCCCTCTGAAGTCCAGCCCCTCATTGCCCTGCAGCCACTGCTTGCCTTGACCCCTCCGAGTCCCGCGGCTGGAGCCCCTCACCCAGCCCCGACGCGGAAAGCTGTCTCCGGTTGGCCCCAGCGGAGGAATGCGCCGTGCACATTCCTCCCCCAGCCCCCGCGCAGGTGTGGGGATGAGCGGTGCCCCAGCAGCCCCCTTCGCCTCTGTCGGGCCCCCTTTGTGAACCGTGCTTTGTGTCTCCGACTGACAGACCGGGTCTGTTTCTCTTCTCTGCGCTCCCCTCCCCGCCCCCCTGCTTCCCGGGCAGCTGGAATGCACTTTTAACCCTGCCCTTCCCGGAGGGCCTGCGCCCCTGCTGCCTACAAATAGCCTGGCACACCTGGTCTGGGGCCATCGCACAGGGGGACCCCCTGTCCTCCAGAGTCTTAGAATGGGACGTTAGTTCCCTTGGGTGGCGGTAGTGTCCCAAGCCATCAAGCCTTGGGCTATGGAGAGGATGAATGAGAGAGATCAAAGCCCCTTTTTATCTTCCAATTACTCAGTTACCACCACCCAAAGTTCAAAAACTTGAGAGTAGGGGGTCACTAAAACCAGTGTGTCATGAGACCCAGGCAGCTGTGGCTTGGGGGAGGTCTCTTTTCAACCTGGGAAGTTACTACAAGGGATCCAACTCAAGTTCTTAAAAGTGTAATCTGGGATCCTTGGGTGTAGTTCCAGAAAACTTATATATGCAATTTGCTGGGGAGGAGATCTATGGTTTATCTACCTTTAAAATTAGGAACCCTTGCCACCTACCATTTTTCTAGTGCTCCATCAACATGCCCCTTACTAGTGCCCCCAGCTTTAATGTGGGTTTCAATCCTAGGGGTTTGTTTCTCCAAAAGAGGATTGAGGGCCTCATGTCTGTGGAAGTCTTTTTTTTTTTTTTTTTTTTAATTCTTTTCCCAAATAACTCTGCAGATTGACAAAACAATTAACACTCAGGCAAAGCCAGAATCCTTAAATCCTTGGCTGTAGGGAGCCAAGTAGAGACATTAAGAGGCCATGCCTCATAAACTTTAAATTCTTGCACATGGGTTTATTACTGGCTGGCTAACAAACTGCAACTGAGCCAACCTGTAAAAATGTTCACTCAGACTGGGCCCCAAATCCAATTCCGGCTCCCTGAGGAAGCTTTATTGCTATCCAGACTCTGCCAAACTGTACCCTACCTCCCCATGGTCAAGTTCTCTCTCTGCTGTAGTCTGAGAGTAGGCTATGGTTTTGAGTGTTGTCAGTGGCTTATCTTTCTTACTGAAGTAAGAAATGCCAGATTAGCTGTTGTTGGGCTAATCACTAGGCTCCAGGTTGTTGGGGTGAAGCAGTGATCAGGTTTTCGATTTCATGGTTGAGTTGGTGAGTGCTTCCCGGTGATGTCAGGCATTTTAAGCCTTTTGAGAAATTCAGCTTTCTCAGATGTCTGGCTCATGGTTGTGAAAACCTCGAGTTTGTGCCAAGAACACACCTGGGTTGTAAAACAAAGTGCGGGTTAAACAGCTGGCTCACCCCGAGTCTCCCTACTAACGTGACTGGTTCTTAGAGTACACTTTTGTGAAAAGTCTGCCATGTTTTTTAAGTTAAAGCAAATTTTGGGCTCAGTTGGTGGTGGTAAGCTGAGAGCTCCCAAGCCACCAAGTGTGGTGGTTGGTGTATGTAGTCCCAGCTACAGCAGCTAAGGCAGGAGGATTGCTTGAACCCAGGCCAATCTGAGCAGAATAACAGGACTCCTTTTAAAAAATACAATTAAAAGTTCAAAATAAATAAATTGAAATGCCTAAACAAAAAGTATGGGTATTTCTCTTCTTGGTCTTCATCTGCTTATATATTTCTGTGTGCCACATCAGCCTCCCATTTTCAAAACTTGCTCCCTCCCCCCATCCAGCCAGGCTAAAAGGGTTTATCCTGTGGGCACATGCTAACACATTTGGCCAAGCCCAACAGCAGTTTCCATACCACTCAGGAACAGTCTGCCTTGTTGTTTGCCCCTGGGTTATGAGTATTACGATGCCTATGAAGTTGAGCTCAAAGAAATAATCTGATATAATTAATGCCTTGTTTGTACGTGCATCTTCCTCTTCAAAGCGCTTCTGTGACTCTGAGCTTGAGTTTGCTTTATCCTCCTAACATTCTCTTGAAGCAGGTAAGGTGAATATTAAACAACATGAGCTCTTCTTAATCCCAGAGGTGGAACTTCAGAAACACGGTAGCCTAGCCTTGCCAGAAGTTTCAAAGGAGGAGAAACAGGCATGGCTTGGCTGAATAGCTCATAAACTTCCTTTGAGGCTCATGAAGGCTAAGGGTCAGTTATGTCCTTAGGAGGTGTTTACATGAATCATAACAAGCTTGTGAAGGAGAGCCCATTTTACAAAAGAAACCTAAGTGATTGTCACTCAGAGTTATTCTTTGTAGTGACCAGATAGGATTTCTTTTTTTTTTTTTCACCTTTTTTTTTTTTTTTTTTGAAATCAGTACCAGGGATCAAACTCACAACTGCGCAATTGCAAGGCAGGCACTTATACCGCTGAGCTAAATCCTCTGCCCGACTGGGCAGGATTTCAGTGGACATTCTGGCTCCCAATTTTCCATTTTTTTGAACTGGGGATTGAATCCTGAGCTAGCTACATTTCAATCCCCTTTTTATGTTTTATATTTGTTTTGAGACAGAATCTTGGCTAAGTTTCTCAGTCTAACCCTGCATTCCAGACTACTGGGATTACAGCTGTGCACCATCATACCTGGCTTCCTTGAAATTATTTACTACCAGTAAGCAGGAGATGGATGGAAGGAAAAAGTAGGATGTTGAAGCCCTGGACCACAACCACCAATAACAATGCCAACCCCGCCAAACTCGTAGTGATTTATTGTAGGGTTTTCCTGAGACACGCCCATCCAGGGAATTGGCTTAGATATAGTCTCTGTTGGTCCTGAGGTGGGACCCTTGGCTAGACCAAGAATGAGGTTAATTCACAGGGAAGCAGAGCAGGAATGTTCTCCCCTGCCCCAACCCTGCAGTCTGGGGTCTACATCTCTCAAGTGTAGTCTGCAAGTAAAGATAAAGGAGAAGTCAGAGGAGGGAATTTGCATGGTATCAGTGGAGTGATTAGAAATGAATGGCCTAGGGTGTGGATGTAGCTCAGTGATAGAATGCTTATCTAGTAGATACTAGGCTCTGAGTTTAATCTCTAATACTACCAAAAACAAAGACCAATAATCAGTGACCCACCTATTATTATTTTTTTAATATTTTATTTTTTCCACTTATTACTCTTAATAGCAAGTAATTGAAAGTCAATTTAATGCTGCTCAAAGATCCAGATTTCATCATGGCCCCTCAGCAGATTCTAGCGACTCTTAACTTTGGGTAAGACTGAACGCTAACCATAATCATTAGCTTTGATAGGAAACTTCAAAGTTCGGTAATTAACCTGACCAAGCATGAGTTCACTTCAAAATGGGTCATGTTTGCTGGGTGTGGTGATGCATACCTGTAACTCAGCTACTAAGGAAGCTGAGACAGGAGGATGGCAAATTGAAGGTCTATTGGGGACCCATGCAGTGATTTCCCCAGTTTCCTGCAAGGTATTAAGGAGCACACAGTGCATGACTAAATAAATAAGGAGCAAGAGAAACAAAATGGCAGTGCAGTGGGGATCTGGGATGACCAGTCATTCACAGGGAACAAAAGGCCACTGATCCAAGCAGCACACTGGAGATCAACAGAACTAGAGACAGTCACATCCCGTACAGAAGTACATGAGGACCATATACACAAATATCAGTACTTAAGTTTAAACCTAGTTAGGGTCAATTTAACTTTTCCACCATTGGTGGCTTCCCTTTTTCTCTCCTGAATACTGCCTTGTTCAAAGGGCAGTGCTAATTTCCAAATGGAATACTGAATAGGGCTGGCATTTTTATTTATGACCAAATGGGAATGAGGGGGATTTAATCCCCACCCCAGCCAGGCAATACTTTTCATTAGAAGGGACTGGACCATATGATCTGCAGACCCACTGAGGGACAGTTGTCCCCAGCTTCTACTTTTTTGGTAGAAGAAGCTTTAAGTTTACGGGAGGTACCATCATCCCACTGGAGCTGGGCAAGGACTGTTGGTAGAACGTTCCATGTGGGGCCCAGTCTGCAAAGGAAAATCTGAATTTATCTGTGCCATTAGTCATATATGTCTTTCTACAAATCTCCCGCTGGGCCATATGTCCTTCATAGAAATGTCAGAGGAATATTCTGGGTCAGCAAACAGGCAAGGCAAGTTTAAACTCCTAAGTATGATTTCGATAAAAGCCTATCAAGCCCATAGAAGAACTACTATCTGATCTTTTATACGGGTCATACAAGACCAAGATTGTACTATAAAGCATGGAAGAGGACTATTATCTAGCACAGACACAGGCACTAGAACAAAAAGAGAAGTAAGGTTTATCAAAGTTTGGTCCTCGTGAAAGGTAATAATTTGAGGTCCAGGCAAAACTGTCATCTCTGGAAAAGTGTGAACAATCTCTGAGGGCCAATCTATCCAGGTAACCAGTCTCAAAAGATGGTGTTTAGGCACATAGGCCCAATAAATAGCCTGCTGCTGGGCAGAGGGTACATACTGGTGGCCATGATCCAATCGGGGCCAACAAGATGTTATTTGGGGTAGAGGCCAAACCTTAGTGATCTGTCAAGACATATTGGGCCACCGGAGCTCCAACAGGTGTCTCCATCACGGCCTTGGTGGCAGCTCACTG